TATATGCACACACATACTCACTCTAAAATTAGTATGCAAATTGAATTAAATATAATGAAAGACCATTCAGGGTTTAGAAAAAATTTTTAAAGCAAAAACTATCAAAATATTCTAACTTAGAAAATTGTAAATTTTTAACAACATATTTGTACTTGTAAAAAAGCTTTAATATACTGTCAGTATTTTGCTTTTGCTTCTGCTTGTGGGAGCGTTCTCTTGCCATGTTTTACAGGGAATGGAGAATGAGCAGTGTTATTTATCCGATAGTCTGCAGTGATTCTACAGTTTTCTGCAAAATGCTTGCAAATTGGAGTGGTGGTTTTGTCTCGCTTTTGTAATCTATATCTATCTCAACAAAATTATGTTCAATAGTATTAAAAAGAATTTTGTGATATTGGACATGGCAAGAGATTAACCACCTAATGTTTTTCACTTTTTAGTGACCTGAAGGTGGCACACTAGAATAATTAGTGTTAGTACTTTTTATGTTCTTCCTAAATTATTTCAAATATGGAAGAAAGAATCTTTTCACAATGATAAAAATTTGTTAGGATAGCGGAAAAGACAGAGTATGCCTTGTTATGTTATGGCGATTACAGAGGGAAAGCTGCCCGATCTAGAACTTTGATGAAGAGAAGGTGGAAACCTTATGAAGAAAGCCTGCAGTCAAAAATAAATGAGACTGTGGTTACCAAACAGTTCAAATGTGTTCAGAGAAACAGTTAACTGAAAATGAGGTTAAAAATCTCTGATTCCCAGTGGAGAGCATCAACATTCTGGAAGATTCAGTGTAATTTTTAAAAATTCAAAGCTTTACTGCTCCTTAAACTTGCAAAACAAATCTATAGAATATTTGATGCCATAGGAATCATGAAACTTTTCTTTAAATATTTGGTTTATATGACTGTTGAATTATTTTTATAAGTGTAAAGACAAAAGATAGAACCATTTCTTGATTCTTTGTAGTGCAGGGGGAACAAGCAGTGTGTTCCTATGTACTTTATTTAACATGAGAAATATTTGTCGATATGTTTGACTTTATGTGCTTTGTTTTCCTCATAAGTACTCTTTATCATTTCTGCTTCTAAGATTTAAACATTTCAGCCAGCGGTGTTTCCAGCTTAAGGCACCCATTAGTCCATATATTTACTAGGGCTTGATAGTGTTACAGCAAAGCGATGAGAGCAGAGAATTCATTTTTGTCTTATCTCTGCTTCCCCGTGCTCATTGCTAGTAAATCAGCCTCATGATATCATTAAAAATTCCATCAGAGGTAGAGTAATATGAGCAGTGAAAAAGATGTTTGATTTTCTTAAAATTTGGTGTTATTTTCTCTTCAGCAGTTAATCTCTATCACATGCTGTATCTTGCAGCAGCGTGCTGTGTGTTTTCAAAGGAGTCAATAAGCAGTTATTAGTAAAACTGTTTACTCCGCACTTTAATCTTCACTTCTTAAATTTGTTTGTTCAGATGTGTCTGCACTTAACAGTGCACACACAAAATTTCAGTGAGACAAAAAGATAATCTTGTCTTTATTAATACACCCTGTGAGCTTTGCTTGCATTGCTAAAAACATGTATGATATTAATATGTTTGCATTACTAAGACCTTCAAAATGTCTGATCATATTATTTTAAGGTTCACTTGCTATCAATTATATAATTAGTTTATTACATCTATTTTCTGGCTGCGTGCCTCTGAAAATGTTTTATTCTGAAGCCTGAAAATGTGTGTGGCATGTTTTCACACCATTCTTTTCTCCTCTAGATGGCCATATTAATCTTTCTTTTCAGCATATTTATATAGAACTGACATGGTGTTTTGTATAATATTTTTATTAGTTAAATGAAGAAAGCAAGATATTTTTCTGGGTTTTGTTGGTGTATTTTGATGATGCAATAGTCTAGTAGCACTTCAGTTCGTTCTATGAAATTTAGATTTTAAAATTTTAATTCCCAAATAACTAGTTCTAATAACCAGCATCTGATCCACTTTATAGATTTGTATAGCGCATTTGATGTGCTTAGATTTTGATCAGTTTTAAAAACATTTTAAACGAAAAAAAAAAATATTGTGCTTAGACACAAGTATTTTTACAGACTCTAAGCTATTGTCAATATACAACTTTTGCAGTGAGCTCCTCCTGGACAGGCTTAATTCCAGAGTATCTCTAAATGAAAATCTAGTTCCTTAGAAAATCAAGATGATGATGAATGTCATCAACAGAAGTAAAATGGTACAGAATGGCAAAGTAAATGGTACAGACAGCAAAGTAAAATGGTACAGAAGATATGTTTATACCTGAAGCTTCCAACTCTTGCACAAATAAGTCAAAACTGTTAATCATAGAAAAGAGAAACCTATATAACTACAGTATTTATTGATATTTATGTGTGGACTTAACCCAGTCTCTGTGCATAGACCCAGAGTTCTATGGTTAGCTCGAAGTTTGAAATCTTAGTTTTGCCACTAGTATTCTTTTTGTTCTTTCCATGTTATGCTATAAAGTATGGATACTTACTGAAGTCACCTTTTTTCCTTTTCCCCGGTATGTATCCTGATACAAATTCCCTTTCATTTTTTATAATGTATATCCTACTTCTTGGTATTATTCCCTACCATTTCAAATGCTTTTATTGTTCTGTTGCATATGTAATATGGCCTTTATGTGCTCCAATTATTTGTTATATTTTGGAAGAGGGACTTAATACAGGCTGTGATATTACACATCTGTTTCAGAAAATAAAGAACAAAAATAAGCAAAAAAAAAAAGCCACAGAAAAAGCAAAAATAAGACCGTAAGATATTTCTACTAACAAGGAGATTATACATTAAAATAGCTATCTAAATAAGGAAGTGTGTTTGTTTACAAACTTTAAACTAAATTGACATTATTTTTTGTACTTCGGTATTTGAAAATATTTTTTAGTATCTATATTGACCATGATCTTAAATGGACCATACTTTCTTAGTAACATCAATTTCAAAAAATCATACAATATGA